GTTGTGTGTCCCATTTTTTTATTCTTTCTCTTTCTGCAGGTCTAGAAGCAGACTCTTGTTCATTATTGTTTATTTTTGTGGACCCCCCCCCCTTCCCCCGCTCTCCCCACCTTTTGTCTTTTCCTTTCTCTTTCACCTCTGTCTCTGTGTCTGGTCGGAATTACAAAGCATTCAAAAACAATAACAATAAAGTTTTAAGCATCAGGCGTGACATTAAAAGCAGAAGCTTTGATGCTCAACCTGAGAGTAAATCTGTAAGACTTGTCACCAGCATTCAGACATCAATTCTGTTTGCTTCACAGCCAGACAGGACATGGTTAAAAAAAATGAAAAAATAAAAATTGCACCAAAATTTAAAAATAATGACTACACGTGTCTACAACGCCATTAGACACTCATTTATAAAGTTTATCAGCAAAAAATTTTGATTGGGATGGGGCAATATGTAGTGCATGATGAAGACTGAGCGGCACACAGGAAAAATAATGTTAAATTTTCATATAGTCATAAACAAGCTTACCCTTTTGATTAGGTTTCATTTATCAGGCCGCCACATTACTCGCAATGTCACGTAAAAGTGGAAAAGTCTTTGTACATGAGCTTAGGCCAGGTACAATATACCGCCTGGTTTCTGGTTTAATGCAAAGTCTGCTCTGTTTACTGTCGACTCAAAAGTCCTGATGCATGATCCCTGGAGTGATGAAGGTCTCACCTACAAGAAGTAATATCTGCCTGAATGTAACAAGCAGACAAAAAAAAACCTAGTCCTGAGTTTTCTGTGATTTCAGTTTATTTTCCATTAAGATTGTCCCACGGTGTAATGTTTCCTGACCAGTCTCTTGTTTGTCTACAGCCCCCTCTTGTGACTGTTTGCCTCCAAATAATCGGTTTGTTTCAGTTTCTGTCTCTCTTTTACTAAAGGTTGTTTTTACTATTGATTTGGAATAGCTGCTCTCAGCTTCACCTCAGTGTTTACTGTAGCTTGTCTGTAAATGATTAACTCAAACAAGAACATTTATGTAACATCCTGAAAAGAAAAATCTAAATAAGGATTTGGGAAGGATTCTCAACAGCTGATTGCTTGGATTGAATTGGTTTTTAGTTGGGGTTACGGCACATATAGTTAATAGGATGTGTTCTGCTTCTACTGTGAAACTAGTTGGAGGACAGGAAGTCCGCTGAGGTATTGTTAGGAAAATAAAAGCTGGTTATTTATTGGACAGAAAGGACATCTTTCTAAACAACTTTAAATGTCTCCCTAAAATTTTCCAGATCTTCTGAAGATTTTCTTTGGATTTTAGTTGATTCCTTTTTTCTTTCACCAAGTACTTGTTCTTCGTAATGTTAAGCAGAATGGTTGTGACTTTCAATGTGTACCATTAACATACCCAATGAACTTAAATACTTAAATTGAGCAAAATCTAAACAGTCAACTTGGGATGTTCGATATTATTGTTCTACCGATATCGGAAGATATTTGCCTTAAAATAGGTACCGGGTTTTACTCCGTCAGTGACCCAACCTTTACATACCATAATACATTACACATCTACTTCAGCTTCATCTCCTCTCTCTCAGAATTCTATATTATGACATATCTGAGGTTTAGTTTTTATGATATTTTAGTTTTATTTGTTATAACTTGTGAATAATCAGGAATTTGCCTTGTTCTTAGAGCACATAGCAATATGTTGCTAGCAGCTAGCAACCACCTAAAACAAGAACTTCTCAATGCTTGTTTTTCCTAAAGATCTTTATAAATGTTTAATCACCGCAATTACAGTAAACCGAAAATCATACAATACTGATTAAACACATTTTAGCACTATTTTAGCAATTATCCTCGCTTAGCATGTGCACACTCATGTTACTTCATTTGACACTGTCAACCATGGCTTCCTTTTGTCCACACTCTCTAGTATGGGCATCACAGAGAAAGCACACGCCTGATTTGAATCGTATCTCACAGGACGATCATTCAGTGTATATTGGCTTGGACAATCCTCTACCGTGCACCATCTTGCCACAGGAGTACCCCAGGGCTCTGTACTAGGACCTCTTCTCTTTGCCATATACACAGCCTGACTGGGTGTGATCATTCGATCACATGGCTTCTCCTACCACTGCTATGCAGACGACACCCAGCTCTATCGGTCATTTCCACCGGACGACCAAACTGTCTCTACACGAATATCAAACTGTCTCTCTGACATATCAAAATGGATGAAATCCCACCATCTCCAACTCAACCTGTCTAAAACTGAACTACTTGTCATCCCAGCAAAACCATTCATACAGCACAATATCTCAATCCAAAATGACTTCCTATCTCTGGCTCCTTCAAAGGCAGTTCAAAATCTGGGTGTTGTGATTGATGAACACCTGGCCTTTAAAGATCATGTTGTCTCTGTTGCTCGTTCATGCCGCTTTGCGCTGTATGACATACGAAAGATCAGACCATACCTAACACAACATGCCACCCAGCTCCTGGTGCAATCTACTGTCATCTCCCGCCTCGATTACTGCAATGCCCTTCTAACTGGTCTTCCAGCCTGTACTGTGAGACCTCTTCAAATGGTCCAGAATGCAGCGGCACATTGAATCCTGAATCCTCTTGCAAAGGCTTACGTCTCGGCCACTCCGGTCATCACAGGACCGTCGGCTAGCAGTGCCTACACCACGCTCAGGACAATCCAGACTCTTCTCATGCATTGTTCCACAAATGTGGAATGACCTTCCAAGCACTACCAGAACAGGAGCTTCCTTTTCAATTTTCAAGAAACCCCTGAAGACCCTACTCTTCAGAGAGCGTCTTCTAAACTAGCACCCTCCCTGCACCCGTCCCCACCTCTCTACTGTCCACTCCTTATTCCCTCCTCTCCATGACTGATGTCAAGTTGTTGTTATTGTTTTTAGCCTCAAGGGCAATATGCCGATTATCACTTGTAAGTCGCTTTGGACAAAAGTGTCTGCTAAATACATAAACATACTAAGTGACTTAAACACAAACACTCCCTAAACAAATCAATACTTACAAAGACAAATGTACAAAAGGTACAAAAGTATAAGACAAACGTAATATATTTAAAAACTTTTATGATTCTCCTGTAATATTGCTTAAGAAACCTTTTCCCCCATCATGAACTTAATTATCTTTGACTTAAAAAAAGTCATCGCAGAGCGTTTGTCAGGATTCTCTTAGGGAGAATGTCATTCAGCTGCAGTTAGAAAATTATTAAACATGTTTTTTTTTCTATTATTAACTTGAATTGAAGTAGTTAAGATGATATATGTTAACAACCTAAATTATTTATTTATTTATTTGGGGGGGGGGACTCTAAGCCTATATTGGTATCGTTTTATGTCAGAATTGGAAATTAAGAGTTAGATAATATCAGATATCTGTAAAAAAAAAGAGCCAATATTGAGCATCCCTACAGTTAACCCTGACATGGTTTGGGGAATGCGTTTAACCCAAGACATAAAGAATCACACACTCACAGATCTTATGGTAAAAAAAAAATCTTTATTTTAAAAACGGGAACTAAAGGTGCACTGGAAAAGCCCAGTGGAGATCGAGAACGGGAGCGCAGCATCTGAGGACGGGAGAACAGATACAGGAGAGTCCAGGAAGGTAAGTCTAAACTTGGTGGGTGCAGAGAATAGACTTACTGGGAGTAGGGGAGCGTAGGAATGAGGGAGGGTAGGTTGGGTGCCGGGGTGAATCAGTGGGGTGTCCAGAAGAGGGAGCAAGAGGAGAGCAGGAGAGCGGGCCGGCCGGGAGGAATGGAGAACGGTGAGAGCTGCGTCCGGAAATCCTACTGGCACAGGTGAGTAATCCTGAGGAGTCGCAGAAAACCAGAGACGTAATCTGGAGAAGTCACAGAAGTCCAAAAACGTTCCAAAACCTGGTAACGGGTAAGTACAGGGAAAAGATCCAAAGGTTCACAAAAAATCCTAGAAACACTGGAGCACAAAACCCAAGAGTCACAAGAGGCCAGGAAACTACCAAGCTGCAGTAATCATCCAGCGTCGAGGCGTGTTCTCCATCCTCCTTTTGTAGCCAGACCTGCTGATTGCAAATCAGCTGCAGCTGGAGCCTCCCTCTCCTGAAACACACAACTCAAAGATGGGAAAATGAGAGTACTCTCCCCAGCACATGACAAACCCATTCTGTTTTCACAAAAGTCAGAAACGTTGCAGGCAGCTTCAGTCAGAATCACGATTATAATACAAAAAAAAAAGAAAAAAAAAAGATTTAGCTTTGGTTCTAATGAAGGGTTTGGGACGGGTCAGGACTAATTTGGTTTGTTCCTATTACAAAAGCGGGCCATACAGCTGACTTGGACTGCACCAGTCATGGGCCTCCCTACAGTTGTAGGTCCATTGGGAGGACCAGGCAATGCCTCACTAGACAGTTCATTGATTAGGGATCACCAGAGTGCTGTTGTTTGTGTCATTATTTGTACAAAGATATGAGAAGATGCCAGCGGCAAGGTTTAGTCTGCCTCAAAACTATAAATATTCTTCACTATTGTCAACACATACATTTGGTTTAATCTCGCCTGACAAGTGAGAGTCCAACTGGCAATCAACGCTTTCCTGAAATTGTCGACATACAGGCCTATACTGGCTGGACCACGGTGACCTGCTCCAGCCCAGACCATTGGAACTGAAGCATTAGTCGATATTTCCCCAAACACAGAATGGCTCATATTTGTTTATAAATAAACATGATTAACTACTATTGATAAAAATATATAAATACTATTTGTTAATTTTTAAAGATAAGTAAAAAATGTAAATTTAACAGAAATAAAGTAGGCTTAGTATTTTTGAACCAACATTTTTTTCAGCAAACAAACAAATTAAAATAAGTCTTTCAAAAATAGATGAAGCTTTTGTAAACATCTGAGCTATACTTTGAAAGACTTTGAAAATCATCTAATGTCCAGTCAACATTGAGGATTTCCCTTGCATGTTACTTTTATTTTGAAAGCAAGTAAAGCGGAAGTGTAGATTCGCTTACATTTAGCTTTGCTGTTTTACCACGCACTTGCAGTTTTGCGTCGGGAGTTGAAAGATGTCTGCAAAGACAGAGGGGGACACTTTGTGCGTCTTTATCAATGGAAAAAAGGTCAGTCGTGCATTTGAAACAACTAAATAAGAGTTTGTTATCGGTTTTAACATTTTATGGTTGCGTCGTGAACTTTATCTGGTGAAACTCGAGATTTAGTTTAGCGTTGATCTCAAACTCAGTAGCGTCGACATGACTGGGGGAAGTGAGATTTTTGCTGAAAAATTAGGAGAAATGTCCAAAATAGAACAGCTGGTGTTTTACTGAGATTCGTTACCTGCATATTATGTAACGGAAACGCCTATTGACTGTCTAAATAAAAGCTCAAGTGTTTCAACTTCAAAGTTCTTAATTACATATAATGTAAATAAATTATCATTAGTCATATCATTAAAATTGTTTTGATCTTATTTGTACTGTGAACATAAGAAACAAAACCATGTCAGATGAATAATAATCAATTTTTTGGTAAACTTAAAAAACTGAACATCAGTTAAACTTGTGATCTACTTATTTGGACCATGAACCACTGAAAAGAGTAAGACACAAACTTAGCAAAAAAATAAAAATAAAAAATCCTTTATTAAATATAATGTATCTAAAATCTTCCAAATTTAACATTAATTATTTTTGTCATGAAGAAACTTGTGTGTAAATTAACTGTAACTCTGTGGATTTCTTTTTAAACATATATTTTAATAAAATTTACAATTTTAAAAGAAATTTCAAACCAGATTATTACCTTTATTGTTTTAAGTCATTTTAAAATGTATGAAATCAAACTGTGAGCTAATGAATTGTGTGATTCCAGGTGACAGAGAACCATGCAGATCCTGAAACCATGCTGGTATCGTTCCTCAGAGAGAAACGTATCCTTTACATCTACCTTTTTTATTTATTATTTTTATTCCTGACGCACCGGTTTTGTTTGAACCTGACTCCTATTCCAGTGCGCCTAACTGGCACCAAATCCAGCTGTGGTGGTGGAGGCTGTGGCGCATGCACTGTGATGGTGTCACGCTACCAACCTGCAACCAAAACCATCATGTATCCTTTAACTTTTTTAATTTTTAATTTTGCTTTCTGCTGTATCATCATTCTTTGAAGGAACACAAAACACCTGCTGACTTTCATCTTCCATCAGATATTGTTGAAAAGTAATTGAGTTTTAGTTGTTCTGATCATATCTTGAAAGTGTTTGCAATCTTGTGTAATGTAACAATATGTTGTGCAATCGATTTGCTTACAGAATAGGGGCTGGGAATGAATTTTAGTGGGCAAAATTGCCTGTTGTCCTAACAAAACGTTCATTTAAATTGTGGCTGTAAATGAAATTAAATAGGAGCACCTTTTCTGCGATTAAGCTAAATAAAGTCTTTAGCGCGCCATTCTGTGCTGCTAGTTTTATTTTGAATTTTGTTTGTGGATTGACCACTGGTGATTTTGGATTGCTAGGAAAATGGAAACAGCATTGGATAATGCACATTGGTTCAGTGTTGTTTAGTTGCGACTGTTTTTTTTAACAAATGCATCATACAGGCTCCCCCAGGTTACGGGGTTCATCTTGGCAAGTCAACCTTGGGTGTGTTTTTCATAGTGATGGGTACCTTTGACATATGAATCGATTCGGTACTAATTCCCGGTACCTACGAATCGATACCGGTACTTAACTGTACCAATTTTCGATATTTTTGAGTGTTTATTATTTTAATTCTCTTTTATAATTAAATATATATTTTCTCAATATATAACAATATTTGATAAATATCACGATAAATATCATTCAACTGTTTGTATTTTAACATCGTCCTTGTAGTATTACAAGCTGATAATTAAACTGAAGCAAACATCTTTACTGTGAACTAAATTTACTGTGTATCTTCATTCCTTTTGCCGTCCTTTTTCATTTCATTTTTCCTACTGGGAAGTTAGAATTTCCGAGGAGAAAGCGAACGCACCATTAGCTGACAACAATGGTGGCAATGGAAGCTAACATATCAAGCTAACGTTATCTTAACCAGTTTATTTAGCTGCTGGAGCAGATTAAAACGATGATGCCTCACACTTAGATCTTTGTCGCTGGTTTCATCTTCACCCAATCACCCGTCGCATTTAGTAAAGTGAAGCCAAACTTTAGAGCGCGTTCATGTTCTTCTAGTCGGAAATTCGGAGTTCCGAGGAGAAAGCGAACGCACCATTAGCGAAACGGAAGCTAACATATCAAGCTAACGTTATCTTAAACATTTTATTTACCTACCGGAGCAGATTAAGATGAGGATGTCTCACTTAGATCGTTGTCGCTGGTTTCATCATCACCCAGTTACCCATCACATTTAGTGAAGTGGACCCAAGCTTTAGCGTGCGTTCTTTCTACCATGCTGCTCTGGTTACAACTGGCTCGCAGTGACCGACGACATAACGCTCTTGCGCATGCGCAGCTGTCTTGGCAAGTTCTCGTTTTGAAGGACGGGTACCGAAAGAAGGCACCGTTTGAAATGACGTGAATTGGTGTTCGGTCGGTACTATGGAATTCGGTCGGTACCTTAAAAAGTACCGAATTCGGTACCCATCCCTAGTTTTTCACATTTGAACTGGCGAGGTTATTATTGCTACATTCTGTGGTGAGATCATAGCCACTTACAAACTAGCATCAGCTCCACTCCGCCCGCCCCAGCCTGGCCACTTTCGTTCCACACTGCCTTAGGAATGCGAACGTGATTGAGCACATGGGCTGTCTGGCCTGTGATGTCATGAGCACATTGCCTTGCACATGGGACAGAGGAAAAATGGCTTCAGTCAGATTAATAATGAATCGTGCATATGGGAAGCCTCTGCGGGCTGATTCTATCTGGCAGTCGGAGGCTCCCCCTAACAGAGTGCGTGATTTTGAGTCGGCCAATCAGCCAGCAGTGTGTGTGTCAGCCCTGTTCTGCTCCAGGCAGACCTCCTCGGGAAGAGGGCTGAAAAGACGTCCGGTTGCACACGGGAAAATCCATGGCAACCTAAATGAAAACACCCCCCAACCCGGTCCAGGCGGAGTGGAGCTAATGCTAGTGTGTAAGTGCCTCATGTGCCTCGCAGGGAGAGTTCACTCCTCTGTGACGGGGGAGGGGTCCAGTCGATGCACTGAGGTGTAGCCTTTCATCCAGTTTCACTGGTAAATGGTCTGAATTGTACAATAACTTCTTAGGGTTCTACAACCCTCCAAGGCACTTCACAACACAATCAGTCACCCACCCATTCACACACACGTTCACACGCTGATGGCGATGAGCTACATTGTAGCCACCGCTGCACTGGGGTGTACAAGCACACGAACGGAAATTATGGAACTAAGTTTATTTGAGCACGGCTGTAATATTACAACATCAGATTTAAGTCTACAAAAACAAACCTTCCCCATTTTTTTTCTTTTTAAAACCACATTTACATTGCTAATAGGTCCTATTGTTCAGTTCTGCAACACTATTGGCTGTTAAAATGTGTAAATAGGCCCGTTTATCTGGCCGTGAAGTCAAACAACCTGAGAGCCTGCTTTGGAGAACATCATCTTGTAGTTTTCAACAGGAGAAATCAAGACTCAAGTAAGTAAAAAGCTTTAAGTATTTTTTTCTGTGATAATTGATGTGTGTAGATCATGCAGATTTTATGACATCATTGAATATACTGATATTGTGAGATTTTGAGCTTGTTTTGTCCATTTTACAACAGTGGGTCTTAGTAGTAGCAAAAGTTGGGTGTGCACCCTGCACTTGAGGGAGTTTACTTTCCACTTGTTTGATGGTGAAAATACTAGGATAAATATTACTGTTTTATCAGTTTGTAATGTTTTTGATCAGTTTTTAATGTTGCAACAATTTTGACATATTTAACAAATTTGATGTTGGATCAAAATACAACTTTTTGTTGTACTAATATAATGTATTGCATTATACCAGTAATTAGGATTGAAAGATTTATGTGGCATAATTTGAAATATACTATAGTGCTGTTTTTCTTTTTCCTGGGTTCTGCTTGGCTGCCCAAATAGCTGCTTTTTGAATGATAAGGTGATAATGTTCTGGGAAGTAGGCGTGTAAGTGCTCATAGCATGACAAAGGGAGCAACTGATACAATTGCTGATCTCTGGAATGTATGAATCTTTTGTGTTGGCATATCTAAAATTAATTTGCATTGCGATTACCTGGCCTGGAAACTAATCTGCTATTGTAACTTTCAGATTGTGAAACCAGGAAAAGCCACATCAGGTACTGTGTCCAGGATGCTATTGAAGCCATCCAGAATGGAGACAGTGACTTGGAAATGTCATTTGAATCAGATTTAAGTGATGAAGAGGAGAATGAAGTTATCTGTGAAGTGGACAAGGAAAATAAATTACCCAATGGCCAACTAACTGCTGATGTTCACATCATCCCAACAGAAGCAGGGCATTCTGATTCCCAGACCATGCGCCGTGACAGGTATCGCTGGCTGAAAAAGAATTTCATCAGTCCCAGTACTGATTTTTCTGGTCAGGATGTCACTAATGGTGTCCAATCCCTCTGCGGACCACTGGAGTACTTTCAGAAGTTTGTGACAGAGGACATGATCAAGGCTCTGGCAGATAACACTAATCAGTACAGTGTTCAGAAGAAAGGATCATCTATACACACCAACACAAAGGAAATAGAGCAGATGATTGGCATGTATCTGAAGATGGGTCTTGTCCAAATTCCTGGAATTTGCATGTACTGGGAAGCAGACACACGATACAGTCCAATCTCAGATGTAATGTCACAAAACAGATTCCAGTCTCTGTTGACATCATTACATTTTGTGAACAATCTAACTGTGTCTGAGAAGGAACAAAATGCTGACAAACTCTGGAAACTCAGACCATGGCTTGATGCTTTCAGAGAGAAATGCCTAAAGGTGGTCCCTGAAGAACAAAACTCTGTTGATGAAATGAGGATCCCTTTCAGGGGGAAATTCAGCAGCATCAAACAGTACATGCCTGGCAAGCCAAACCCATGGGGCTTCAAATACAAGTTACCACTGAAGTCCTGCCGCTGGTACCTTTATATCTTCTGGCACACCATTATCCTAGCTGTGATCAATGCTTGGCTCCTGTACAAAAGGGACTGCAATGCCTTGCATATTCCAAAGTAACTGGTGCTAAACAGGAGACTGTTTCAGGCCCAGTTGGCATCATCTCTTCTCCTGATTGGCACAGGTGTATCAGTGCCAAAGCGAGGGCGACCATCTTCAAGCCCAGTGTCATTGAGGGGGAGCACGTTGACTTCCCACAACAGGCTGTTCACAGATGAAGGTTCTCCAGCTGCCAAAATGCCCAAAAAGTCAAAAGCACACCCTCCAAAGGAAGTTCGCAAGGACATGATCGGACATTTTCCCATCAAAGACGACAGAGGACGGTGCAGAAACTGTGCTAAAGGCTACACAAACACGCTTTGCAAGAAGTACAATGTTCGCCTCTGCTTTTCAGAGCAAAATAACTGCTTTTGGGACTACCAAATGAAACCTGCACATTTATGTGTGTTTTTTCCTTCAGAATTTCCACATAGAGCCTGGTTCAAATAGTCCTTTTTTTGTAATAAATTGTTCATAAAAAATATTTTTTCTCTTATGCCATTGATTTTGTGTAGATACATAAACTTCTGTTGGCCTTTATGCGCAGTAATGTACAAATAAACTTTTAATTGTCACTTACATGTGTTCAGATTTGTGAGTGATTTCAATGAAATTCTGCTACCCTACAGGCCCATTGTTGAAATTTTACAACATGCCCCCCAAAAGTTACTAAAATATCATAATTTAAAAAAAAAACACTGATTTGTGCATCACAAGCCTCCTAGAACATGTGAAAGGTTAAAAAAAGATTTTGCTGTTTTTTTCTATATTTGGGTTTCTGGGAGATATAATTGATTTACAGTGATCCCTCTTTTATCGCGGTCGATGCGTTCCAGACCTGGCCGCGATAGGTGAAAATCCGCGAAGTAGTGACACCATATTTACAGTACAGTACTATATTGAATTATCGTATGATCACA